AAAAACTCTTCGACTTCTTTCTGAAACATGGTACTAATGTTAAAGTGGAGAATTAATTTAACTCACTCGCTCATTCTGAGGGTCCATTAGTCGACTTAAACTACTTGTTAATATGTCCAACTGAATCAGGTCAATTATTTGGTATGGAGTTGTATTTCATGAAGGGAAACCGTTAACATATACGATGGTTATTCGAGAACCTTATTTCAATTATTACAGGAGTGAAGCGGCACTTGACAATATAGTTTGAAGTCCTTATAACGTGAAATTCTAAGACACAGGCTGACCAACGTTGCCCACAACGAGGGTTGTCGTCTTCTATAGGGTAGTACGTGAAAGGATGTAGTCCTCTTACGATTTCCGCATCTCCTAAGAAGTAATCTTATTGTATACAGGTATTAACGACAATATGTGACGCCGCGCTGCACGGGCAGACGCTATGATTGTATAAAGGTGAAGATTTTTTTGCTTATGAACAAACACGAGTCGTAAACGTAAATTACGCTTAAGAGTAAGAAGAGTAGACACTTTTCTTCAACTTCGATCAAAAGCCCGTATCCTAGGAACTGTGTGTTTCAATGAAACGAGTCCCTTCAAACTAATGGACTCGGCGTAATTTGGCTACTAGCAATGAACGAGTTTTAGGGACGGGTTGGAAATTCGCTTTCTATGTTGTGCGACGCGGTGTTTTCAAAGTGTCTCTGGAGTCTAACTCGCACTTTCGGCAGAATTTGTAATATGTTACAATGTATACTGGGGAACAACGACATAAAAGGAAAGTGGAAAGGCGAAGAAGCTCCACAGGAAACTAAGGGTACATATAACATGTTGACTATTTGGGTTGGAAAGGGGGGTGTTAGACGTACACAAAATAATAGAAAGACACTGGGATGGTCTAAAGACGATGAGACTCTGTTCAAGACCTCGTCTGACATCCTTACCGACACGCTGAAGGTGGTCGGCCTGTACCCCGGTATCGTTCGAGGTACCCGACGCCTCCTTCTACAAAGAAATGAAAAAGGTGTGGCCACCGGTCTTCACGGTCGGCATTTCCGATTGGAAACTAGTCAAATACTGCCAAGAATTTTGTTGACAGTCACAAAAAAACACTCACAAGAATTCGTACGTAGACAAATCGCAGCTTATTGCATTTGCTCGGAATACATTTTTTTTTTCCAAGTATATACCCATGAAAACCTACTGTGTTGACTGTGGCCCATAAGTTACCTATTGTTTGTACCAATTAAACTTTTAACACATCAACGTTTCTAAAATTTAGACATATTATAAATGACGATTTATTTTTCATCTTGTAGCATAATGTCGGAATACGGTAGTACGAAAGGACTGCAGTATGTGGACATATGTTTTTAATTGACTTGCATTGATTAGTTTTTTCGGAAAATATATATGGAAATCGTTGGTCTCAGACGTCTTTTTTGTAAATAGCTAAAGTATAACGGAATGAAGGACAAGTGTAACGTTCTTATCTGCCAACAAACGGGCGGGAGACGACCTTTGGGAGACGGCGAGTTACGATACGGGTCCCGGCCGAAGGTCTTGTTTTCCTCAGTCCCACGGTAGAAACTCCTAATCTCTCCGCACGTCACGCAGTTATCAACGGATAAGAACATAATTCACTCCCTTACGCTGCGATTGTGGGAGCTCCCCAGGAGTGGAGCGAGTCCCGGCAGGCCCGCCGGTACGAGGGGACCCTTCTAAAAAAAACCCAACTTCATAACTCAATTTGCGAGTAGACGCGCACGTAAAAACGCTTCTCGTTTTACCTTCCTACCCTAGGAGTCATCTGCAGATAGACGAGGAAACGCCTAGAGTACGCGACAGGGTCAGGGTACATAGTCATCTCGCTGCCACGGCATATTCTCGTAGCCGCGGTCACAAGCAAGCGGTCAACACCACTCCGTAGGACTGAATGGAAACGTTTGGCTGATTGACCAGAGGGTACAGCGGTCTCGTAGAGAAAACAAATGGTCTAAAGTGGTTGAGCGTGAGCCTCTCGTGAAGGGAACATGTCCTGCTCAACCCATGAAAAATTTACTATGGACCCGTCGGCGAAGACAAAACGCTCCAGGAGAACGTCGAACGCGACGGTCGGGCTGCTCGGGCCCCACCGCCCATACGCCCGTTTGTTTTCTCTGCCGGCGACGAGGCGGGGAGGGAAACGCCGCTTCCGCCGCGTTACGTCCCTTCACGGCGCTCGAGCCGCGCCAAAGGCGACAGTGCTGTCACCGGCGCCCCAAGTTGCATTACAGGGTACTAGACTTGACAATAATGGACGTCATGCTACGTAACAATGAGCAACCGCATAATCCCGACCACAAACTTCGGATAAAAGACTACAGTAGTGACTGAACACACATTTCGGTGGAACGTGTTGTACCTACTTGCGCGCGGGTCGGCGCGTGTCGCAGTGCGTACTGTGGACCTGTATTAATTTGGCGGAATGCGAATGGCCAAATTTAACGTGGTTCATTTACGTCAGTCTGTACACATAAGTTGGTGTTAATGTTAAAAAAAATAAAGTTGATTAAGAAGAAAGAAGGAGAAGAAGAATACATAATGTATGAAATAATAATAGATATAAATAATAATAATAATAATAATACCCGCGCGTGAAGGACAAGGGAACCTTACGCTGACTCGAGCGGGGTAACAATCTCAACATATCTTTTCATGAACACCACTACTACATGGACAAACAAAGAAGAGGAGACACACAGTGAAACAAGTAAAAAGTTGAGACTCCCAATCGACTACGCTCTTGCGCTAACCACGAGTGACGCCCACGTTACGTGGGAATACGGTGGGTTGGAATCTGGCCCGGACGACGCCGGGGCAAAGAGTTAGCGCTCCTTTGACCGAAAGGCTTCCTGTTATAAAGTTCCTATGCATATGCAGTAGCTCGACGCGCGCGGTTTCATGGACAGTTAAGAGGCTCATATGACCTTAGGTGGCCTCCGGTGCAGGAACCAAAACCGCGCCATAGAAACCACGTGTATGCTGCGAGAGGCATACCGCAGGTCATTTCTACATGTTCCATAAAATGGAGGAGAAAATAATCATTGCGTTAGTGAATCACGCGGTGCTGTATGATCAGTCTCTGTTCATCTACCGGGATACAAACCGGAGGAGCCAGGCACGGAGGGAGGTGGCAGAGATAGTGGGTGAAACTGGTAGGTTTTCGCCTGTTTGGGGAGTATCCAGTGTACCTCGTTTTAACATTGAATGGACAGCTAGCAGGCATAGACAGTATATATAGCTAGCATGGAATGTTTTTTGCTTTCTATGTCGGGGGCGGGAGATTCATGTGATTGGTTGTTGGTCGCGTTGCTCGCGTTGATTCCCCAAGCTTCAGACACGCCAAGCGTCAACGCACGCTGCTGTGTGGACGCTCCTTTCTTCCCATTCACTTTGAATGGGGTGACATCACGCTTTGCCGAATTGCATTGTGGTTCCGTCGCTTCGCTTTGCTCAAGTTGCTCGCTTCAAAAGTTGAGCAAAGTTCAACTTTGTAACATGTAAAGTCAATGCAGAGATGCGGACAGACCGGGACAGACGCGAATCCGCTCCAACGGTGCCCATGAAGCGGTTGATGCGAATGCCGCGACAAACTCTTGAGTTCAATTTTTTCTACTCGAGCGTCAAATTCGCGTGACGCAATCTCGCGGTAGCCAATCAGCGGTGAGGATCTCACCCTGCCGTCACTGACGTTGAACCACAAAACCGAAACATCAACCGTTGGCTGTTAGCAGCTCACAGCTCCTAATATCTGTTCAGAAACTGGACTTAAATGTTGATTATTTTGTATTGATTAAACCATCCACCATTATATTTAGGTGACCAAAACCATGAGTGGGTTAACAGAAAATGTATTCACACTTATTCGGCTAAGAACTATTTTCTTCAAAAAATATTTTAAATTAAAAGTAAGAATTTGCTGCATTTGCATTTAAAATATCTTTTAAGCCAAGTCATATTTGAAGTAGCTACATTTTCCTAATCATACTTAAATACTTTAACTTAAGTACCATTCTCGATGCAGTACTTTAACTTGAAATTGAGTAATTTTACAGTGTGGTATTAGTACTTTTACTCAAGTAAGAATCTGAATACTTTTTCCACCACTGAAAACTAACAAGCTAACGTTTACTAATTTAGTAGCCTATGAAATGTAAGCTAGCCTTTGCTTTGTAGTTTAACTACATAGTGGTTTTATCAAACCATAAAGTTATTATATAGAAACTGAAGTACTCAACCTCATTTCTGGAGACAATGAGTTGGAAGAAATCTTTTGAAGGAGGAGGACCCTGACCACTAAATTGAAAAAGATGATCCCCAAGCAAAGACGCCATTTTTGGACGCAGATCTGTAACCATGACAACTACAAAGCAACTGAAAATATCAGAATGTACTCAACTGCAAAGAAAACCGTTAATATTGTTGATGAGAGGTTATGTTGAGCATAATATTTATTATTTGTATTATACTTTTTTTTATTGCAACACCACCAACTTACAACTCAAGAAAGAATACCGTACAGGTAGCAAAACATCATAGACATTACTGTTTTATGTTTGTATAACGTGTGGGGGACGGGGGGGGTTCACGACCCAGCGGATTGATACTTCATATTTGTGACAAGCTAATGTTACCAATGACTTCAGTGGTGCAATCATTATCTTTACATATAGGACACATATAACTGGCGTCTTTATATCGAAACCTGTGTGCCATGTTTTAAATTGTATCGGGGAAAACAAACAGTTCACTTAGCGTAAAAAAACAAAACATGCTGTTAGCTAAACCTAGAAGTAGCGTTAAGTAGTCCCTGGCGGATGAATCACGCGGATGTATATTGCAGTTGTAGGCCCCCTCAGCTGATGTGAAACTAGCAGTAGAGAGAAAAGAGGAGCTGCTGGTGCACTGTCTGTTACAACTACAACACTGGAACAAATAGGTAACAACATTGTACAAAAGGGTGGACATTTTCAGTGACATCTCAGCCAACAGTTTCTTGGACCTTCGAGGTTATTCAATATCGAAATACATCGGAGGAATTATGACTCAGTGTTGCGAAAATATCTCGAATACCGTTCCTGCTTTCCTGTTTTTTTGTGTCTAAAGGTATCAGAGGCCATTTCTTTTTTTTGCTAGCTAGCAGCTAACATTCTAGCTGCTAGCTAAGACAACTTGTGCATTTTTAATAGGAACATATGACCAGATTGTTCCCAAAAAGGCTGAATCTGTTAGTTGTAACGAAGCTGTTGTTCGTCAAAAAAATCCCATTAGCATCCTGTCGAGCTGGCAAAACGTTAGCCAGCGACAACAAGGCTAATATTAATTAGCTTTGCATGCTAAGGTTAGCTGGTGATAGCTTTAACGCTCTTGTTTGGTTTGACAACGCTCAACGTCATATACGTGACTGCTGCCCCGCAGTAATTCTGTTTTGTTAAGGTCAGTGTTTTTTTTTGTCAACTGGACAGCTAACATTAGCCAAACTAATACCAATTATTAACAATAGTGTGTCTAGCTAACAGTCGCGTGTTTATTTTTGTCAGCCTACTGTTTGCGAGTCATTGACGAGACAATCTCTTTTGGCTAAGCTAGCAGTTAGCATCGCTACTTGTTATTCTCGTCAAGATATTTGGCTAAGCTAGCATTAGCTTGCTAACACGTAGCATCGGTTCTTGTTATTCTTGTCAAGATACTTGGCTAAATATATTGTTTGTTTTTACCCACGTAAGGAAGACTCTACTTTGTTGACACGTTGACAGTGAGAATGTTATAGAACTTCTTTTTGTCTGGCTAAAAAATAGCTAACACGCTAGCATGCGCTGTAGTGAATCAGAATTCCTTTATTAGATTCAAAGGCTTTATTGTCATATGCACAGTAGCTACAATGGGATTATTGCAATTCAAATGTGTTTCCCTAGGCTGCTGCAACAATGCAACATTAATATTGATATATATGACATACAACAAATACATTGATAAAAAACAATAGAAAATAGTGCAAGAAGAAACTGAGTAGAAATTAAATATTGCAAGATTAAGTGGCAAGACCAATGTTGGTCAAACAGAGGGGAAATGTACATCTTTACACCAAAGATGTTTAAGTGCCATGCACACATATGAAACATTTAAGATCAAATAATAATTAAGTATAAAGAGGTAATTAGTAGCATTATAAAAAATAAAGTAGAAAGTAATGAGGTAGCTGATGAGGGTAGTACATACTATAATGACTAATATGTATGTATGTGTTGCACAGTGTTACATTACAGGGTATTGCTAAACAAACAAGCAGCCAGTAGTATAATTTTAACTGGTGTAATTATTGCACAACAGATGTATTATGTCTTTGTTGTTGATTGTCATTGGCCTTCAGTCAGCTTAGAAAACATTATAGATTCCGATATCTACTTCTGTACTCATTGCATTGACAGTTGCTAAGAGAGCATTTTTTTCCCGACTTGACAGTTGTGTGATTTTGACTTAATCATCTCATCAAACAGTACAGGAGGTGAGCTAACTTGCTTGCGAAAAATGTATGGCTTTTTTCTCCATTTAACTTGATCCTCAGCCAAACACAGATCAGTGTGTGTCATGGCAGTCTGAATACCAAGTTAGCTTAGGCTGGTTTACTCCGTAGCCTGCTGCTAGCTGAATTACATTGGGAAAGACGGTCTAGCCGATGCTGCCATTTTCGATATAGAGCTAATCCTAGGTGAGTGTTATCGTTATTTGCCACTTTAAGGGATTTGTCCGTCGCCATTTCATACAACAACAAGACGCAGACAGGGTAGCTGTTTGAGTTTAGCAGTGCGTTTACTTATGGGGCCAAAGAGGTTGACACACCGGTACGCCAACTACGCATTTCCATGTAACCACAGCTACATTAGCTAGCCTAACTTTTACTTGCCAGTCTCTGGTATGCGCTTTCTACCCTTTCGGCTGTCTTTGTCGTGATAATCAACATTTTGCGACTGAGATGTGTGTTTTTTTTAAATAGATGTGACGAAGTTACTGTCAAAATGTATAGGACTCGCTAGGATACGAGTGGCTAAACATGCTAGTTGCTGCTGCTGGTGGTAGAGAACTACGTCAGAAATAAAGGCCTCTGTAAATCATGGGTATAACAAATGGACACGGTCGTGTTTGTTTAGTGATGTAGTGTTAGAAACTTTGTACAGGCGAGTGTTTCAAGCTGCCGATCATCTGATGCGCTTAACTAATCACATTATACGCGAGTGTGGTGCACCAGTTGTCAGAATAAACAAAGACTAGGATGCACTGTCAGAGCAGGCCTAAAATGGCCCTGTGAGCTTGCCAAGTGTGGCGTATTTTATTATCAAGGATATCATGATTTAAACCTTAACTAAATTACAATCATTGTTTTCTGGATGGAAAAAAGTATTTTAGGTTGTGATTAAGAGCCTCTGTGTATCAATTGATGACATCTCCTTACTATGTGTTTGTGTTCAAAACAAATCAATCCAGTGAGTAATTTACTTGTTTAATTATTCACATATAATGCTTAATATATTAAATTTATATTCTTTTACACTCTTGACTAAAATGATACCAACACCTAACCCCAACAAGAAGCTCTTTTGGTCAGGGTTATGTAATATAATGGCCATTTAATTATCTTTTTGTGGGTTCTGTTTGACCTGATTTCTGCATAATGGTATTTTATTTGTCTGTTACATTGCTCATTACTCAAAAACATATTGGGTTGTATTTATAACTTAAGGGGATATTCTGAAGAGGATTATTGGGTGAATGTATTCCAGTTGTTCTGCCTGTCAACAGTCTTAACATACAAATATATACAAAAAACAAGTTGAGTGGGTTAGCAGGACACTTAGTGATAGGCTCAACTATTAACAGCATGATACAAACGGCTAATCTTCTGTATTAACTGCTGTTTTCTGAACCAATAATTATAATGCGATGCCGACAGTAAGAGTTGATATTTAAAGGTCACTTTTTTGCAGACATGATAAATATAAGACTGCTGGAAACATGAAGTGAACTGAGTGGATATTACTTGAGTCTTCTTTTTATTTTTTTCAAGAAAGCATATTATTGATTCAACAATTTATTTTGGATTAAAAAAATTCTACTTCACTTCGCAATAATTATTTGCCGTCTAATCCGTAGCCCACATTTTTATTGTAGAAACTATCTGGTTCCCTGTTCATGAACTTTTTGGCAGCCTGTTTTTTGCCCCTAGCTGATAGGTCATGTCAGTAATAGGATTTGTCAGGGGTTTTCTGGTGGGAGTTTCATTTGATGTGCAATCTTACGAAAACTGATGAGACAGTTGTTCCCCTGATCACCTCAAACAGACTAGAGAGGTGAGCGTGATGGTTTCCAACACCCATCAGATGTCACCTACCGCCCAGCAACCAATTCTAAACCACGGACGACCCTGTGGTGGTTGGAAAGTGTAGATATAATACATTCGTTTTCTTATGTGGTTTATTTTTCCTTTGTTGCAGTGAATGGTAGTGTCTAGAAAGGGTATGTCCCTTCAGGAGAGAGGTGCCAATGTCCAACCGGCCTAATTCCAATCCAGGGGGGTCACTGCGCCGTTCACAGAGGAACACTGCTGCGGCCCAGCCACAAGACCACACAGTTGCAGGAAGGTGAGTCGACCTGCATTTACTTTAAATTAGACCTAAATCCAAATTAAGAGGCAGTTATCATGTTTTATGGGGGTGGGGAAAGGCTGTTTTTATTTAATTTAAATGAGCAACAAATAACTTTCAGGTAAAGGGATATTTTTACTTGAGTCATGTTTTTATTTTTCTCAAGTTGATAAGAATTGCTTTAATGCTAAATAGTTAGATAAGTAAGGAAGATTATATTGTTTTTCTTTATAGTTATTATTATAGTAAAATGCTGATTAACTCATTTTAGATCCTGTTACTCCAGAGGTGTTAATGATCAGAGGCTATGGAGACGCAGTAAGACTATATGATTCAGGGATTGATCATGTCTCTTTTCTTTGTGTGGCTTGATTACATAAACCCACACTATCTTTTGCTCTTTAATTTCCAACCTCACAGGTTGCAGTCAGAGCAAGTTAAACACAAAGCAAATTCCCCTCCCGAAAGTAGAAGACCTAATTCTAAGGCTTCCAAAGCCGCAGCCAGCTCAGCCATTGGCCAGTCCAGAGGGCACAGCTCAAGAAGGTACCCTCTCCTCTCCTTGGTGCTTATTGTGTGTGCATGTGTGTCCACCATCGTTATACAGGGCTGTGCGATTATGGCAACAATCATAATCACGATTTATTTTGGTCAATAATTGATATCACGATTATTAAAAACGATTATCAGTTGATTACCCTGAACTTTAAATATAATTAAACTGAAAAAAAAAAAACAATTACATTTTTTTTTTTTTTTAATAAAATGAATAATCGTTTTATTTCAATATGATTAATTTCACAGCCCTACATTTCAATGACTACAATGAATGTGTTATGGTGATGAATCCCTTTTCACAGTTTGGGTAGTTTTATAAGATGTTTTTTGTTTTCCCTCTTGGCAGAAGCGGTCTGTCAGTGGCTTCATTTGTGTTGCAAGACGACCCGGAGGCAGCAGGGACATCCGAACAAGAGCGACCAGGCCAACAGTCAAAGAGTGAAGGCCCCCGAGGGCTAAAGCGAAGCGAGGCTCCGGACCAAATTAGTACCTTCGGACCTACCCCTGCCAAGAAGCCCAAAGCACTCCCAGCACCCAGAGACAATACCTCTGAGACCAAGAAAGGACCAGCGAAGTCCAAGAAGCGATCACTCGCTTCAGAACCACCTGCATCGTCAGGTCGAGGCCAGAGCAAGAAGAGCGGGGCCGCCGGGGCCTCACCAATCCCGAAACGGAAGAAAGCGGACTCCCTCCCCGGTCTAAGTAGCACCGCTGGGCCCCTCCCCAATCGTACCGAGGGCAGAACTGCAAAACCCACCAAGCTGGCGTCAAAATCGGCCGCCTCAGCCAAAGCTGGGTGTAGCAACGTGACGGACTCCTCCTCTTCTGCCTCCACCTCTTCCTCTTCTTCCACCGCAGGCACCAACAGCGCCACCACGCAGGGCGCCAGAGTCAAACAGGGAAAAGATCAGACCAAGGCACGGCGCTCTCGCTCGGCCTCCAGCCCCTCCCCACGCCGCAGTACCCGTGACAAGGAGCAGGCCAAGGCCGCCAGCTCTTCCAAGTTCGAGTGGGCAGCTCGCTTCAACCCCAAAGTCAACCTGCCAAAACCCAAACTGTCCTTACCCGGATCCTCCAAACCTGAGACCTCCAAACCTGGGCCATCAGGATTACAAGCTAAACTAGCAAGTGAGTCACATTACCTGTGTTTGGATCCCCTCTGTGAATAATAGAAATCCACAGTGTGTGCTGATCTCTCCTTTAGAGCGCCATTGAGGGAAGTATCTGCAAGGGTTTTAAGGGATTTTTCAAACCATATTTCAGGGTTATAATCGACAGAAGGGTCGACACATTCATCTTGTGTTCTTCGATGCCGCTAACACCTCTGGAAATAAATGTCACGGCATCAGTTACAAACTCTAACTCACTCTGCTGTATTTGGTTCAACTGCTTCCCAGTTGAGACGTAAACATTCACCACAGGTCAATCATCCATATTGATGACATAGCCGTAATTTAGCATCCATAACATTTTAGATGCATTTCATTCTGCGACTTTGGGATTATGCTAATGCACTATATAGTAATGACATTTCCATACTCTGTATTCGGACACTAAAAATAAACTAGCGGATGTAAACATACTTCATTATAAAATAAGGAATGATTTAGCACACAGCTCGAGCCTTTTAGGTCTGACATGTTGTGCATGCATCATGTATAAATACAGTTGGTGACACGCTGCATACAGTGTAGCGTGTGTGTTGTGTAGCGTTATCTACTTGTGGTGAGTGTGGCTGCACTGAGCTGCTGAACTGGCTCAGATTTCAGTGGCCTGAAACTGGAGAATAACTAAATCCCTAAATACTGCTGGCTGCTCGATTGTCAGTGTGGAGCACATGTAGGAACTCTCAGGTATGGGACAGATTCAAATTCAGTATGTTTTTGTTTATAGTCTTGTGACTTGACGTTTTAGCATTGCAAATATATTTGTTGTTGTTGAAATCGGCTACCAACTTACCAAAGTGTCCCACTGGTGAGTGGGATAAGAGAATCTGTCAATTATGAACAAAACAAAACGGCCTAACCCTAAGCAAAGGTAATTCTCAAGGTTCTGTACTTGGCTGAGTTAAAACTAATTTCTATGTAATAGATAATAAATAATAATCAACAAAATAAGGCAAATGCATTAAAAACAATGTATTTAATTTAAAAATGCAACAATGTATTGTAGACAAATTGCCTAATGGTTGTTAGGCAATATCTGACTAGAGGAAGAACAACCTACATGTGGTATCTGACATTAAGAAATAAGCATTCTGTGCTGTGGAGTGTTTCGGTTAGATAACAATCACTGATGGAGAATATAGTTACACTCGCATGTCAGTAGGTCAGATCCACAGACATATCGCAGTATATGTTTGGTGTGCAGGAAGTGAGTGTGAGCTGTTCAGGTCAGTGTTGGGTCAGGCTGTTCTAGCTAGGTGAGCTGAGGTGGGCTCTGCCCTGGGCCCAAATGGAGAGACCCCTCCTAAGTTTGCTGAGTGTGTTAGCCCACCAGCTGCTGTGTGTGTGGCTCTCTCTCCCTGTCTCTCTTTCTCTCTCTCTCTCTCTGTGTGTCTCTCTCTCTCTGTGTGTGTCTCTCTCTCTGTGTGTCTCTCTCTCTGTGTGTGTCTCTCTCTCTCTCTGTATATGTGTCTCTCTCTGTGTATATGTGTCTCTCTATGTGTCTCTCTCGGTGTATATGTGTCTCTCTCTGTGTATATGTGTCTCTCTCTGTGTGTGTGTGTGTGTGTGTGTGTGTGTGTGTGTGTGTCCTTCTCTCTGTTCTCTGTGTGTGTACTGCTTTTGACAAGGAAAGAACTTCATCTCCCTCTTTATATCTCCGAATGTAAGCCTCTTATTTATTACACGCACATTAGATGTTGCTATTTTAAGATCTAATGGCGAGTAAGCATATTTAATTTGCATATGCTTGAGTTGAAGTGATTTTGTATGAGTTTAGGTTGCACAATGCCTTTTTGATGACCTTGATTTAGTAATCAATTAGTGGTACAACTGCCACCCAGTCAAAAGGAAAATAGATTTGATTGGTTCAAGTGGCTATAGACTATAGATTAGCTTTGTTGGGAAACTTGATGCACGTGAGTTTCATGGTGAAAAAAGATACATTTGAATTAACTCAACATTTAAGTTGTACATATCTTTAATTAATTTGGTCTAAACTTTCAATGTTTATTTTTGTACTTCTGAATTATGCGCCACACCCCCAGCGTGAAGGTTGTCCTGTCATAGGGCCATGGCTTGGGTTACTATTAATATCCATCTAGTCAGCGGCTCAGGGCTCTGCACAGGCTACACTCGAGCCTTTAGTATACACAATATCAGGCTTTACTCATTTCACAGACCCGTGGACAATAATCATGATACATTGGGGATTTCGTTGGTTTGAAATCAAATCGATCATTTGACAACATTGTATCAGTGTTGGTACGCTATGAAAGTCCTCAGTCAAGTAAAGCCTTTGTATTTCATTGATAGTATTCATTTATTCTCTGAAACTTGTTGTGAATAATTTGTGGGTATAGGGATGGGTACCGAGCCCCGCGGCTGAATTATTAAAGACCGTGGTACCGTTAAGCTCAGACGTTATCGGTCTTTTTATCTTTTTTATGTCATCTATATTATTGCTACACAAACATTATATTGCAGTTTGATTGTCGCCAACTCTGTTTCTAATGAGTAGAAAGACTGCAAAATGCGTCTATGATTATTCTTTGTATTTTTGATCTTTCCAATCCATACAAGAGATCTCTCTCCCGCCTGTGTGCCATGGAGCGGGACAGTTTACACACATATAGCTGCTACACACACACACACACACACACACACACACACACACACACACACACACACACACACACAGGAGATGGCGGAGAGAACGCGCTCCGAGGTGTGGTTAAACTTTACCCGTCTCGATGTGGACAATGCTCGTTACCAAAAGTGCAAAAAGAGTTTAGCATGTCAGGGCGGTAACACGAGCAATTTGTCTAAACATTTAGCAAAAGTGCTCCACATCCAGACGGAGGAATGCATCGGGTTCCACTGTCTTTCTAGTAGCTCTGTAGCCCCGTCCACGAGAGACGTGTCCACGTCAGGTGTTATGTATGCTAGCAGCAACACACGGAGTTAACTCCATTATACAAACATGGGTTCATGATGTGGTAACGGATTTATTTATCTATTTAAAGTTTCAGCAAATCTGTTTACAGTTCTGTCATCAGATTATTTAATACGATTTGTTAAAACATTGCTGTTTCTTTTGATGTGAAATATTATTTATTTAATTTAAATAATATTATGTATTTAATTTATATAAAAAGCAATGTTAGTTTTGTTCACAATTTGTTTAGTTAGTTTACCTTATTTTTTTTCTCCAAAAGAACAGATAAAAGTAGTGGTTGGTTTCTCATTTTTTGTTTAATATTGGTACAATGCAGGTCTGATTTCTGACCTTTGAATCTGTTTCCTTCAGGGTTTCGGCGTAAGGAGTTCCGGGGCAAGCTGGCCATTGCCATCACTGCAAACTTCATCAACAGGAACACCTCAGCGGAGGCAAAGGTCGAGGAGATTAGCGGGGTGGCCTTTATCTTCAACCAGAAGTTCTTTCAAGACCTCAGAGAATCCACAGGTTTGTCACATACAGAAAATGTCAAGATACAAAAAATGGGGACTTGGTGTACAAAGGCCTTAACCTCTTAAGCCCGATTGCCCCCGCCGGCGGGGGAAAACACAACAATATTGCACGAAACTGTGTCTCAGGGCTTCTTTACATTTAACAACCTAGTAATGTGTCATTGCCACTTAACGGGAAGAAACTCAGCTAATTGACGATATGAACAATTTTTAGCTAAACGAAACACAAGGGTAACACCAAGCCTATGAATTAGCACCAAGCGGAAAAAAAAGCGATAAAAACTTTAGCACATAACTCGCGGTAGCGATATGTTATACTTACGACAGCGAAAGCCAGGAAAGACAACACACAACTTCACTTTACGGGGCCAAAACGGCAAATATGTCTTACCTTTGCTGTTTTCTGATAAAAAGTTGTCTTCAATGGCATTAAAACGCTGCTGAAGGTTAATCCAATTGTGTCACTTTGAAATGATTACTGATAATCCATCATCATATTTATGGCAATAAATGTATTTTTCATATAGAGTGCAAGGGAGCTTCCGGTTTTAGGCAAGCTGCATGCGCTTCACTCTCACTCACCAATGGTAATGTTTAGATGGATTTAGGAACCGATTCTGTGGGGGGGAAATGTGAAATCATAGACATGGATACAGCAATACAACAATGGGAGCTGCTGGAAGCACTGGTGAAACAGAAAAAAGGAAAACTGAGGACATAATCTGTCCTTGGACCTCATCGGTCCTTGGACCACATTTCTGAATTTGTCAGTTTATCCAATTAAAATGCTTAACATTAGGTTTGATGCCAAGCCTGCCAGGGTTTATTGCTGACATGACAATGTCTCTGGGGCTTTGTGCTCCGAGTCGTCTAATTGCTCCTCTAGTGATGACATGACCGTCAGCTCTGGCATTAAGGAAAGCAATTGTTTTTGGGGTAAACAATACGTCTTTCTCTTTTTAGGTGTTGACCTGGAAAACATTGTCTACTACAAGGATGACACGCACTACTTTGTGATGACTGCCAAAAAACGGAGCCTGATGGAGAAAGGAGTCATTCTGCATGTGAGTCATCAAAGCCAAGCTCTGTGTGTGTCTTTGTCTGATTTTGTGTGTGTGTGTGTCCGTGTCTGTGTGTCTTAGTGACAATTATTGGATCTCATTATATCCCCTGTAGTATATATAACAGCTGCATGCCCGTAAAGGCTATCTAAATCAGAAGTCTGTCCCTCTATTGCCTTTTTGTCTCCCTCTCTTTCATTTTTCCAGTCTTTTATTTTCGCTCTGTTTCTGCCCAGCATAGGCCTAATGGTCCAACCAAGCCAAAAGTGTTTAGGAAACAAATCAAGCACAGTTACTGAGTGTTCCTGTCCTCACTGTACACAGTAGGTTCCTTTCTCTGGCCATTTCCCACAGGAAACAGGAAATAACTTTTTTACATCAATGTCTGAAGGTGTGCTTTGTTTGGGTTGTGTCTCCAAAAGTATTTCACATTAACATTTTTGCAAACCACATCTGTCCAACTTTAGATGAACATGTGAGTCTGTTTGT